AATAAACAAATGTTTTTACATATTAAAAAACGAAACATTCCAAAACATTTTTAAATAATAACATTTCTACATTAATGGTTTCAAGTAGTTTTGCGGTAATTAAGTAAATTGGTGCAGTTAATGTCGAAAATATGAAAAGCAAATAAAAAGAATTTAATGACGTCAAAAATCACGTCGTGCTTATGCGTCGTGCAGTTTTTATTCATCACAAAGCCTGATATATATATATATATATATATATATATATATATATATATATATATATATATATATATATATATATATATGGGCAATTCCACGGCGCAAATTGAAAAAGTAGTCAAATTTTATTCTCTTTTTTGTCAATTTTTAGCAAATGAATATTGATGTAGACACATAAAAGTTTATTTAAAATATACCTTTAGCACTAAAATTAATTAATTTAAGTCATTTTTATGCTTCTGAGAGTTACGGTTTTCTCATTGTCGCATGATAAAAAAGGTGACATTGTAAAATCTTATTGTAACCATGAATTTATATATATTCATAATCGGAATTAAATTTGCGTGAAAATGGAGCTAACATGTTCAAATTGTTGTTGGTCAGATTTTATACTTAATAAAATAAACATATTCTAAGAAAATAACAAATGAACTTTTGCAATTTTCATGTAACATAAGTTAACAAAAACATGATAAAGTTTTGTTTTATAAAATTTATTTAAAAAACTTAAGTTTTTTAATAATATATGCGAAAGAATATTAAATATAACATTTTTGCATTTAAAATTTTGAATAACGATGCTTAGTTAGAGCACAATTTTATTTTTAATTTGTGTAACGTAAGTTAAAACTACAAACATTTTCTTAAGTTCTGGCGCTTTTTCGTAAACAAAATGAATTACGTCATTTAGTAATTACTATTTCGTTTTCAAGGTTTTAACTGGAACTTTTTATATTAGGAGAATTTAGAAAAAAATCTTTTATTTTTTTTAATGTTAATTAAAATTATTTATATTATTGGTTTTTTATTTGTTTATGTATTCTTACTTTATTTGACATAAATACACATAAATAAATAAAAATAAGAATTATGTAAATATTTGTATTTAGACATTTAAAAAACAGATTTATTTGCTATTTTCCTAATATAAAAAAAATCAGTTAGAATTTTGTTTTTGTTTTAGTAAAACAAATTGTTTGTAAATGCTATTATGAGTCATCCATAAAGCATGTCACCCTATATTTATCAATTTTTAACCTCTTTTCTCCTGTCCTAGACGATCACATATACCTGAATCCCTCTCCCTTCTAAACTGTGATAGCAGTTTTTCTTCAAAAATATTTCAAAAGATTTAAATGTAAATATTTTGCAGCATTCTAAAAATTCAACCTAATGAAAACAAGGCAATACACATAAATGTAAGGAGTGTAAGTAAAAACTTCAACAAGCCAAAGATTTTTATATTTAAACAAATCAAATTAGTATTAAAAAGTTGTAATACTAAAAAAAATTTTCAAAGTTGCTCTTGGTCTTGCGGAAAAACTGTTTTCGATTCGATAACTTTTATAAATGTTATAAAAAATCACTCCGAAAGAGTGCCACCAGTTTTTAAAATTTTCCTTTGTTAATTATTTTTAATGAATGAGTTCAATATCGTTGCAATTGTTTAGTTACATAACTCTAACTCAAAATAATAGAAGTAAAAATCCACGGTAATAATCGCAAGGTAACGTAAGTGATGTAACGTAAGTGAGATAACTAAAAATCTGGTTAAATAACATGTGATAACTAAAAATCTGAACAAAATTAGAAATTATATCACTTTTTAATGGAATGATCAATTTTAATAATTTAAAAAGTATAATATCAAAAAATATTTAAATAATAAAATTTAATAAAATTATAAGTTTTTCATGCCATTACGACGAACAATGTCTACTCTTGTAAATGTTGCGGCAGCTAGCTGATGTACTCGTTTTATGTTGATTTTCTTAATTGAAAACTTGATCTGCTTTTTAAGTTTACCTAGATTTTCAGCTTGCCAGTTTTTATTATACACTAATCTCTTAAGTTCAGACCAAAAATCTTCATTGGATGTAATTCTGGTACATTAGCAGGATTATGCTCTTTCAGTACAAATTCAATATTTTTAGCTTTTAGATAACCTTGCACTTTACGCGAAAAAGTGTGGAAGCTAGACCAGGCCAAAAGACAATATTGTCATTTTTATGATGTTTTTCAATGAATTTCTCTTATCTAACCAGGCATTTTGAAATACACACATCTTCATTGACTACTTGGCCTGACGGAACAATGTACTGCTGAGAAATTCCTTTCGTCGAGAATGCAATCCAAACAAATAAGTTTGGCTCAAATTTGTCTTTTCTTTTTAACTTTACATCATTTGATGCTGTATTTATGTCAGAAGAATAGAATCTGGCATTTCTGGAAATATTGGTGTTAGTCAAATAAAAATACGATTCATTGTCAATAGTAACTACTTTTTTTTTAAACATCGAAACCAATCTACGGCACTTTGAATGAACAGCTGCTTTTTGAGTCGGTGTTTTTTTAGGTGTTTTAGTTTTTTTAAGATAACGAATACGAGTTTTTTTGTGAATAATTTTGCATATGTACGGTTGTGATACATGGAATCGTTTTGCAAGACCACGCTGTGAAATACCGTCCTTTTGATCAATCAAATTTTTAAGATGCTTTATCTCTTTTGCAGACATCTTTTTTGCTTTGCGACCACTTTCAACTTTTCTTTCTGGTTGTATATTATTCTCCTTTCTTTGAAGTATATTATAAATAGTAGATTTTTGTATGTTCTCCATTCGAAAATGGTTTACAATAAAGCTTTTATTCTTATCTGGATGCAAATCCAAAAATGCGTACACTTGTTTTCTAAAGGAGTCTTTGTTACAAGTCTTTTTTTTCATTTTTAATTATTACTAAATAATTTTTTTTAATAATGCATTTAAAGAATTAAATTTGTAACAAAATAGAAGTCATTGCAATTATATTAAATTATTCCTTCATATTTTAATATTTACTCAAACTTTTTAGTTATCACATGTTAGTATCAAAAAAGTTTATTTTCCTTACCCGATCACCTATGATAAAATTTTTTAGATTTTTTAAATTGGCATAGAATTCTTAACATCTTGTGAAAGTTTCTAATATAAACCGCTTTACTGATTCGCAGAAATCTGACCTAAAAGTTGAAGCAATTTTTTACCTAGTTTATCGTGTAATGTAAGAGGCATTTTTAGTAATAAGTTCACCCTTACTCAGCCAGACTCAAAATTTTTTAGCTTATTTTATTTTGTAGACTAACAGCTTTTATACAAAATAGCTAAAAGTTTAATTTACTGTTTAAATAGGCAAATATTTGATAAAGTTGTTGCGCGTCTAACGTAAGTTAAAAATGGAATTCCACATATATACATATATATATATATATATATATATATATATATATATATATATATATATATATATATATATATATATATATATATATAAACTGTGTAAAAAAATATATATACAGAATTGGAAAAAACAAGTGCAACCAAATAATGCTAATTTAGTTTCTTTATATAAAATTGCTGCATTTTTTCAATTTAGCAAAATAATTATGTAACTGTTTAGAGACAACGTTCTTCAAGTTTTATTCATCACAAAGTTCATTATTTGTACATGAAAATTAATAATCTAATCAAAAGTATTAAAAAAAGTTGATTTCCTTCTGGACAAAACAAGTGCAACTCCACAAAATGTTGACCAAGCTGTATTTCGCTATCAATATTTCGTGGCGAATCCTTTTTTGTCGATCACAGCCTTGCATCTTATTAAAGGTATATTGATAAACACAACATTTCCTTGACAACCTAAATTTAATGAAATACCATGAGCCCTTGACAGTCTGAATTTAATGAAATACCATGAGTTTAGCTGGTGAATGAGATAGTAATTTAGAATTAGTTCAAAACTAGAGCAGAATTAGTTCACACTGAGAAGTTAATACTGCTTGTTTTGATTACAATATATTAATAAATATTATTGTAATCAAAACAAGCAGTATTAACTTCTCAGTGTGAACTAATTCTGCTCTAGTTTTGAACTAATTCTAAATTACTATCTCATTCACCAATTAAACTCATGGTATTTCATTAAATTCAGACTGTCAAGGGCTCATGGTATTTCATTAAATTTAGGTTGTCAAGGAAATGTTGTGTTTATCAATATACCTTTTGTATTAGTGCAATATATTGTACAAACGCAAAAAGTGTCGCATTTTTCTTTTTTTTTTCTTCTCCAAATCATCAACAATTTGATTTATTTAATTTATTACTTTAAATAAAATAGTTTAATAAAGTTTTTATTGTTGAAATGTGATAGTTATTTTTTAATTAACTTTTTTTCTTCACATTTTTAGCATATTCTCATTTACCCAAAATAAATTATTGTTTTCATTTATTAAATTACTAATAATAAGTTATTATTACATCTTATACTAAATTACAAATTCCATCTGTTACTACTTTTTCTAATTTCTAATTTTTTAAACAAAAGCTATTTGTTGTTGTTTAAAATGGTCTCAAAACAATGATTTCCTCATCCATATTAAACTCTTACTATTCAGAGTGTTAAGGAAATGTTATCTTATGATTTTATATTAAGGTAAAGATGTTTCTCAAAACCACCAAGTTTGCTCCACCAATCAAAACCATTCAACTTTTTTGATTATTTAATATAATTTTAGCAAAAGTTATAATGATTATATGATTTACAAATTAGTATTTATTTTTTATACTATTAAGCTTATTTTTGTTTTATATGTTATAATAATTTATATCATTTGAAATAACTTTGAATTTTATTTTTTTTTTGACTTGAATTTATATAAAATAGTGTTATGTATATATTATTCATCAAAGTATTGCACATAAACTAATCTTGCATTTAAAAAAACATTTAAAAATTCTTCTTTGGAGAAAAAATAAAAGTTTTTTAAGCATTTAAAATAGCAAAACGTTATGCTACTTACTGGGAAAAAAAATGAACTGAAAAAAAAATAAAGCATGCAAAGCTTTTGATCGAGGTTTTAAATCTGAAGTAATCCCATGCGCAGATTTCCATAAAACTGAACAAAAAAAAAAAAAAACATCTAGCCACAGCTTGATTTCTACTAAAGATATTTACAAATCAAACAAGGTTTGATTTGTAAATATCTTTTGTAGAGTTTAAGTAACTTTAATTATTATTATTGCAGTATTTCTTTTGCTGTTTTAAATGCTTAAAAAATGTCACAAAAAACACTGCATGATAAAATAAAAAATGCCCTACTATGTTTGGTATTAATATAAAGTATTTATTCCTAAATATTAAAACTTTTTGTCTCCAAATTATTTTTCGATAGCAGCTTGCCTTTAAAATTTTCTGCAAAACTGGGCATACACGTGTATGCTCTATTTTGAGTTTTATATATCTATAAATTTTTATACATAAAATATGATATGTATTATAAAAGTTTAGTTGAAAGTTATTGTATTTCATAGGTTCCAGTGTAGAGGTGGATCTTGCAGAGAAACTAAAGATTGTAACCAGTGAGCGAGATGGTATCTGGTTTATCAAACTGTTGCATATTCTTTGGTTTATTTTTTAAAGCATCTACTTATAATACCATGATAGTATAAAAATTACAGATTAAGTCTGTGTGTTTGTGTATGTGTGTGTGTGTGTGTGTGTGTGTGTGTGTGTGTGTGTGTGTGTGTGTGTGTGTGTGTGTGTGTGTATTTAAATCCTAAATAAGATGATTTTAAAAAAACCATTAAAACAACAGTAACAGTTTTATTTAAGATCTAAATTAAAATAACTAAAATAAAAACAAGTAAAAAATTAAACAAAAAAAATTAATTTGTATTCTAAATAAAGTTTATTAGATAAAATAAATAAATTGTAAGTATAATTTTAAAATTAAATTCTAAAAAATTTTAAATTTAAATTAACACTAAATAAAAATAGTTATATTCAAAATAGAAAAAAAGGGCGTTTTATTTAAATTTGTTTAAATATTTAAATAAAATAATTATGATTAAAACAACAAAATAAACATTTTATTCAAATTTTAAATAAAATAATTCATACATACAAGTGTTTTTATGATTTTTCATGAAAGTATTTAGCAAACAAAAAAGATTTGCAATTTAAAAAAAATTGCTTTTATTATTGGCTGATGTATATATTAGGGGTGGGCAAAGTCTGAAAGTGAAAAATAAACTTTTTAATTTAAATTTAATAGTTCATTAAACTAAAGGTTGACAGGACTGCACAAGAATTTTTTCAAAATAGACCTGTCCAATCTTTAGTTTATAGAATTATTAAATTTAAATTAAAAAGTTATTTTCTACTTTTTATTATGGTTAAAAAAAAAGTTAAACAAAAGCATACACATAGATATATATATACATAAAACACAATTTAAAAAAATTAATTAAAAAAAATACATATTACATACATACACACATCCATACAAACAAAAAATATTAAGTATAAACAAGCTTCATCAACAATGTTTACTGCGTTTTATATTAATACATTTATTAGGTAATCTAATTATTATTATAAATTGCACATTCTAACATTCAGTGCAATTTTCTGTCCGCTTTCACTATGCTATCTTTAACTCGATTTCTTCTGACTTTCTTTGTTCTATTTAAACTCTCTTACTCTTTCATCTTACTCGTTTTTTTTTTTTAAGCTTTACAAGATTTACTTTTTTTTTTTTTTTTTTTTTTTTTTTTTTTTTTTTTTTTTTTTTTTTTTTTTTTTTTGTCTGTAAAAGTTTTCGTTTCTCTTTATATATTTTTACATATTTTACTTGAGGCATACAATACTTAAGATTTCATTATTTTTTTGTATTTTCGCAATTAATCACAGAAATTTATGTGATTAATAGTAATTTCTGCAAATGGATATAAATACAAAAATAGAAAATTGTTAAATACAAACATAGCTAAAATGTTTTTAAGCTATAATCTTTAATTATGCAATCGCTGACACCTTTCTATATGCAAACTAGAATACAAAGCTAACATAAAAGTCTGGGAATAATATAAAGATTACAATGCTAAATGTTGCAGCAATAAATTTCTGATCAGTAATTTTAATGACATCATTGTCAACACTATAGTATTCTTGTTTATTTTTTGGCGATATATCCTAACGAATATCCTTGGATATCCTAACGAATTTGTTTAAATCTTTTAATCAGAATTTTGTAAGAAACTCTAATCTATGTTTTAATTATACTGAGTTATGCAGTTGTTTAATTTATTTTATACAATTTTCTCACTTCTGTATCAATATATCTTTACTGGCAAATATTTATGTATAGTATATTATATTATACACACACAATGTATTACATTGTGTGTGTATGTGTATAATATATTTACATACAAATATAAACTTTAATCCAAATACTTTTTCAGCCAAAGAAAAAAAAGAAAAAAAGTGAAATTTTTTTTCGATAAAATAAATGTTTATTAAATGCAAACTGCATCTGCCCAAACTTTTAGTTGATGTACTGCAGCCCTTCCATATTGTTCTGTACATTTTGTGTGCAACCCACATTTATCATATACATATATATATATATATATATATATATATATATATATATATATATATATATATATATTTATATATATATATACATATATATATATATATATATATATATATATATATATATATATATATATATATATATATATATATATATATATATATATATATATATATATATATATATAAACATACATACATACATACATACATACATACATACATACATATATACATACATATATTCTGATATATTTGAAAATACACAATGATAGTTCTAGAAACATGTTTTCAAATTATGTGGATTTATTATATTTTCATTTTAGCAGTTTCTTTTCTTGATAATCCAGACATCCAAGTAAAGCTCGCTGATTTAGGAAATGCATGTTGGGTTGTAAGTAATATTTTTTTTAAATAGTGAAAATTAAAAATTTGAATATATTGATAAAAAGGGTTTTAATTCACTGTTTTTTATGTTCTAAATGTTTTCAAACTTTAATGTTACTAAGTGCCATAATTTTTAAATGTACCATATCTTTTGAAGTTAACAAGACTTTTAGTTGAGGAACCAAATCTATTAAATATTGTTGATCTATTTTTTACAAAAATATTTCTAATATGTTGCAGGCTATTATGAAATACAGAATTATTGCATATTTATATAACTGCAAAAGTTTGTAAAATCAAAATATATATATATATATATATATATATATATATATATATATATATATATATATATATATATATATATATATATATATATATATATATATATATATATATATATATATATATATATATATATATATATATATCAGCTGTACATTCTTTAAGAAAGGACTGTCATGGGGATAAAAAAGGATCTTTGTTGTTGTGTTTTAAGTAAGTTAAAGATCTTTTGCATTAAAAGATTATATTAAAATACTATTATGTTTAAATTTTTATGAGAAATGTTTTAACATAATAGTATAATTCATCTTTTATGTAATGTAATAATTTTTATGAGAATATATATATATATATATATATATATATTATTAGCAGGCCTCAGGGGGAAGAAATGAGTGCAAGAGCGGTGAAAAGCTCTCCTAAAATGAATATGGCGAGCTATGTGAGCTGCTTCTCTAAATTCTTTCGACAAGCATTGTTTTTATTGCTTATAAAAAAAAGTTTTATATTTTCTAATTGTAATAGAATGCAGGGATTTTAAAAATTGTTAAAGATAATTATTAAAATGACTGCGTTTTTTATTTTAGTTACAATGAGAATTACAACTTTTGAGAGAAAAAATTATACTTTTGTGAGAGCAAAAGTATAATTTTTTCCTCGGCGGCTGAATATAGAAACGCTAAGCTAAACTTAAACTAGGAAAAAAGTTTAAAAAAAAACTAACAAAAAAAAAATCCTAATGAAAAAAAATTCTTTACGAAAAAGAAATTATATAAGCACTAAAGTAAAAATAAACTTGAAGCAAAAGTTCTTGTTACGTTTTTAATTACGTTTCAAATAAATTTTTTTAAATGTTTTATTAAAGTTACGCAAAACGCTTTTAAATTACTACTAACGATTGTTTAATAAATGAACAAATTTTATCATTTTTATTAAAAGTGTTGTATTTAATATGTTTAAATTGTAAACATTTTTTTGTAAACAAAATTGTAAACAAATTACTACTAACGATTGTTTAATAAATGAACAAATTTTATCATTTTTATTACAAGTGTTGTATTTAATGTTTAAATTGTAAACATTTTTTCAAAAAAAGTTGAAAAAAAAATTTGTTTAAAAAAATAACTTAGGCTTTTTAAAATAGTAACTTTTAATAATTTTATGCTCTAATTAGTAAGTCTAGTTTAAAAATAGTTTTCCAACTCTTGTATTCATAAAAATAGGAAAAAATGAATAAAATGTGCCTGCAATTTAAATAAAATAAACTGCCAACAACCAATTTAATTTAGTTTTAATTTATTAATAAGCGCTTCACGTAAAGAATTTAAAAATTATTATAAATGATTTCTACTCATTCATTCCTATCGTATTTAAAAAAAAAAAAAAAAATTTTCAAAAATAAAATGTTTGTTTAAAAGATTTTAAAAAATTGTAAGTTTAATTATAAAAATTAATCTTATGAACATTACAAAATACATGCTTATATAAGTAAATAAAGTTATTTTATATTCTTGTATAATTCACATTTAAAAGCTGTAATGTAAATGTGTAAAAGTTAATAGTTGCATAAGGTTTTGAACTTATTCATAAATTAAAGTAGCTTTAAAAAATCTTTCTAAAATTAATGCTTTAAAAGATTTTTAGGAAAATAGTTTCAAGCGCTTTAATTTATTATGTAAAATACATTCCTACATTAAAAAAATGTATATATAACATTTTTTATTAATTTACACACATTTTTACGTAAACAATCATTAAAAAATAAATTATTTGGTTTTATTTTGAAGCCTTCGCGTAAGATAAAAACTTTAGAAAAGATCAACGTTTAAAAGTTATTTATAATATGTATATATGTATATATATATATATATATATATATATATATATATATATATATGTATAATAAAAACACTATGAATATTCAAAAAATTGCAGTTGCATCATGCTACGTAAAATATCTTAAAATCTCCCATTAGATCTAGATTATTGGGTCTGCTACCCTTAAACATTTATAAAAAATGGTGTTGTTTATCCTTCGCAGAACAGGCTTCTTTTTTTATTTAGTATTTTTATATTTGTAAATAAATTTTGTTTCAACATTTGTAAATAAATTTTGTTTCAACAACCTAAATAGAACAAGTTTAATTTGAGTTTATTATTTTGTTTTAAAATATCTAAGTAAAAAAGTTTTATTTTGTAACCATGGAAACAACTTTATTTTATTTCACAACAGCTATTAAAACTGTTAGTCTTAAACTAATAAAGTAAGATCTTATGTTAGTAACTTTTGTAAAATATATATATACCTCACACTTAATAATTCAGGTTGTCCTGCTTTATTTAGTATCTGGAAATTTTTTTTTTTTGAATGATAATCTTTCGATGTATATAGAAATAAATTGCATAATTTTAGAGACCATTTAGAATGCACTTCTTAAAGACCAGCCAATCAGAACATGCTTTATAATATTAACTAACCTGACATGTTTCTCTAAGACTAGTCATGATGAACATATAACACTGAATAGCATATAAAGAGAAATAAAAACAACAACAAAAAATACATCAATAGCTAATATGAACATGTTATAAGTATATGCTTTAAATAGACCAAAAATTGATGTTGATACTTCAAATGAAAAAAAAAATAAGTTCAAAAAAATGAACTTCAAACTTTGGTTTAATCAAATTTTAGTTTATCTGCAGACAGAACATCAATTAAGTATTAAGCAGACAAAACATCAATTAAGTATTAAGCTGACAGAACATCAATTAAGTATTAAGAGAAAACAAAAAAACTCATTAAACTATAAATTTATAAAAGCTTTTGACTTTATTTTTGGATTATCAAAAAGTTTTTAATTTTTTTTATGTTATACGTTTTGTTAATAGCATTGTTTTTTATGTTCTATACATTCAATATTTATTTGTTTGCATATTCAACATAATTATATTTGCACATTAATTATAAATTGGTGATGTAATACCAATACTAATTATAGTCAGTAAATTAGAGTAATATGAGTACCTTGGTAATACTTAAAGATTTCTTAGATGTAAGTTTAAATTTTTTGAATCGACTTTATGTGTTGATAACAAGAATCAGTACATTTAGCGTAAATTTATATGCAGTAATTAGCAGCAATCATCTAATTAAAACACTATTAAATTTTTTGTGTTGGTAAAAATTTGGTACTATCATAATGAAATTAATTTTTTCATAAAGAAAAGTATGTTAGCTAAAAATCCAATTCATTTTTGTTTGAAAAACAATGTACAGTAACATTTATTTTTGACTTTATTTAAAGATGTCATTTTTGTGTAATATGAGTATGCTCAAATTAAGTTTTTCATTGAAATTACCTAGTTTAAAGTCCTAAAATAAAATAAAAATAAAACATAGTAAAAAAGTTTATTATTTTAACAATACTAAATATTTTTCTGTAATTTAAATTCAAAAAATTTGAATTTCAATCGTTCAAAGGTTTGAGTTAATATAATTGAAAAATTAACAAACTAACTTTTTTTTTTCTTCTTCCGGAAAACATAGTATTGTTTCAACAAAAACTGGCTTAAAACTTGATCTTTTAATGATAAGTTTTGTTAATAATGAATTCATTATACAGGGTGACAACCATAAGGTGAAACACATTTTCGAACCCCAATCATTTATTAACCCCGTACCATATGACTTTCCCCTTGTTTACAGTTTGTTTTGACATTTGTTTAGAAAAAGTTTTAAAAATTTGAGGAAGAAAAAATGAGGGATTGTATGAAAAATACAGATCTAAATCCTATCAGGGAGCTGATAATTTTATTACACAAAAAAAATTTAAGTCAAGCTGATATTTGGAGACGCCTAAATGATATAAAAGTCAGCAAATCATTGATTAGTCAAACAATTTCTCGTTACAAAACTACTGGGCAAACAATTCCAGCTAAAACTAGAAAAAGAAAGCGCGTCAAGCGCACTCCAGCAATCATCAAAGTGGTAAGAAAACGTTTACGAAGAAATCTTGCTCGCTCAGGTCGGCAGCTAGCTTAAGAGCTGAACATGTCATATACCTCTATGCAAAAGGTTATAAAACAAGATTTAAGACTTAAGTGCTACCGTAAACAAAAAATTGCCAGCCTCACTGACAAAAACAAGGTGGAAAGAGTCAAGCGTTGCAAATCGCTATTGAAGCGGCACGGTGGTGCAGATATTGTTTTTTCGGACGAGAAAATGTTTACTTTGGAGCGCCTGTTGAACAGACAAAATGACAGAGTTTATGCTGTAAAGCTCTCTGATGTTCCTTTAAACGTTAGAACTGTCCCTCGTTATCAGAATGCTTCGGCGGTCATGGTATTCGGGGCCATCTCGAAAAAGGGGAAATTTCCTCTGAAATTTATCGATAGAGGGGTGAAAATCAACAAAGAATACTACTTACAGAATGTGATCAAAGATTTGATTGAACCTAAGGCTAAAGAAATGTATGGTGATGATCCATGGGTGTTCCAGCAAGATTCTGCCCCTGCACACAAGGCTATTGTTGTTCAAGATTACTGCAAGCAAAATTTCCCAGATTTTATCGATACCAAAGAATGGCCTGCTTCGAGTCCTGACCTCAATCCCCTTGATTTCTTTGTCTGGGGATACATGCTACAAGAACTGGGGAAGCATAAATTAACAATTTTGGACCAATTCAAGGAACTTTTGATCGACATTTGGGACAAAATGCCACAAGAAACTGTGCGTGCCGCGTGTGAAAACTTTTTCAAGAGATGTCGAGCCTGCATAAAAGCAGAGGGCGACAGGTTCGAATTAAACCAATAAAACTTGTTAAATACACTTGTAGCTTTCTATTGATACCACTTTCGAATAAATATAACTCTTAAATTTGAAAATATAGCTTACTTTATGTGTTTCACCTTATGGTTGTCACCCTGTATTTCAAAATTTAGTTCTAATTGTCAGGTTGGTATTTTTTTACTTAATTAATGTTACTTTTTTGAGCTAATTTAAAGTGCTCACATTACTAAGTGGTCTGGGTAATATGAGCTTTTAAGGTAATATGCTGCTTTTCTAAAACCTCTGTCTTTTAAAGAAAAAATTTCAGGCACCTAAATATCTAAGTGGATCATGATTATTGATCCCTAAAAATTGTTTGTTCACAAAAATTTTGGATCCAGCATAATTATTTTTGAAAATGTTCTAATTTTCGCCTAATCTACCCTACTTTTTTTTCTTTCTTTTTTTTAATGAATCAGATAGTTTTGCATGATTAATAATATAACACTAAATACCAACAATAGTCAGTACTAAGTTATTTAATTATGCATTTACAATTTCTATAATTTTTGAAATTTATTATAATTTATTGGTTTTTAAGATATAATTAGATGTAATTACTAATTATTAGTTAACTATTACTTCTAATTAGTTTGAAATATGTATTTGTATTTTTAAAAAAGGATCACCATTTCACTGAAGAAATTCAAACTCGTCAATATCGCAGTCTAGAAGTATTGTTAGGAGCTGGATACGGACCCCCAGCAGATATTTGGAGTACTGCATGCATGGTTAGACTATTTTTTTGTAGTTTGATATTTTTTATATACCTACCCTTAAGAAAGTTATCATTTAGTTATTTTGTTTATTAACTCAGGCATTTGAATTAGTAACTGGAGATTTTTTATTTGAGCCTCATTCTGGTGAAGATTGGTCACGTGATGAAGGTAAAGTGTATTTTGATTTATTTTTTAAAAGGGATTTCCAAATATAAAATTTAATGCAGAGTTGTTTTTTTTTATAGATTTAGTTCAAACAACGAGCTTGGGTTTAACCCTTTTTTTAGCTCAAACAATGAGTTTGAGTTTTCCCTTTTTTAGTCAACATGATTTAAAAAAATGAATTTTCTAACTATTTTATATACTTTTTCTTGTTATGTTTTTTTCATTTTTTCATTTCATTATTTTATTTTCATTTCATTATTACCATTTAAAAAAATTTCTTATATATGATCCAATTGCTATTTAAAAATATTTTTTAAATACTTACAAACAGTTTCTTAGCAACCAGGAAAATGTTTTTTTAATTTTTGTTTTTCGTTTTAAACAATAATTAAATTATACAAGCATCGAAACTAGTTTTTACTTGATATTTCTTATTCAAGAAAATGTTTTAAAGATGATTTTATGAAATATTTTTTTAGGAAGGAATAATGATTAAATGAAAATTATTTCAGCCTAGATAACCTAGGTAACTAGGTCACTTTGACCAGTGTTGAAACTTTTGATTTCAAAAATTCAATTTCAAAAATCAAAAAAATCTTTTAGTTTTTGTGCTCTAAAGGAAAATAAATGCTTTTTAAAATATAACGAAAAGTCTTTTAAAAAGCTGTTACTATTGCTTCTTTGTTTCTTGTTGCAGATCATATAGCTTTAATTATGGAGTTACTTGGACGTATTCCTCGTCATGTTGCTCTATCCGGAAAATACTCAAAAGAATTCTTCACAAGAAAAGGTATGAAAGTATTTTTATTTATTTTTTTCTTGTTTTTAAAAAACAAAGTCACTTCCAGTGATTGGCTGAGCAAACAACCGCTAATTAAGTTTGATGTTAACAGAAAAAAAAGAAAAGTCTTAATATTTAAATATATCCTTGGTCATTTTTACCTATCGAGATAATCAGATTCTCAAGACTTCTTAAGAATTTATGTAAAATTTCCATCTAAATTATGTAATTGTAAAATCATAAGTTTCTACCTAATATTGTTTCAAGTAAAGCATGAACTCCACTAATCTGTATATTTCTTAGTATGGGATATATCAAGATATATCAAAACAGTTCACAAAACACCATTCTGCAACTAAATTAATAATTGCAAAGTATTTTCTTGCTAAAAATGATAGTACTAACATTGTTTGATAGTACTGAATATGATAGTACGAACATTGTTTGATAGTACTGAATATGATAGTACTAACATTGTTTGATAGTACTGAATATGATAGTACTAACATTGTTTGATAGTACTGAATATGATAGTACTAACATTGTTTGATAGTACTGAAAATGATAGTACTAACATTGATGTCATTTAACATTATGCAGACTGGGAGTCTGATGAATTCCCTTCTATCAGCACATATTGAATTAGAAAAAGCTGTTCCAAAAAGTGGTAAAAACAATAAAAAATAAAGTTACCTTCTTTAAGCCTCCTTAGAGTTTTAATACTTTTCTGAAAACTAATTGGAGAAAAGAGTTTTTGAATCCTCAGCGTATTTGGTTTGACACTACCATATTTTTGAGAATGGGGAGGGGGAATTACCATGTTGAGGGGGGGGGATTATGTTTTTGATTTCCCCCTCCCCCGCATTCTCCTCTAGTTAAACGGGTGCCGCAACAATAATTTTTAATCATTTTCTTAATAATCATTTATGTTTATCTTGTTCAGTTTTATCCTATAATAAGGTGTTGATTTAAAGGCATTTTTTGAATACATGAATTTACTGGTGGACGAAGTTACTTAAAAGAAAACTATTTTACTTAAGATTTTAACAAACGCTTTTGTTGCATATACCACGTAAATAATTATTGAAAATTGTTTAAAGTATTTTAAACAGTTATTAACTATATTTTAGTGAATTTAATTTAAAATAATAATTAAAAATATTTTAAACAATTTTGAATCAATATTTACACTACATAATATATATATATATACATATATTATATCGCGTAATATTTGTAAAATCAACAAAAAAAAGTTTTACGTCTTGTATTTGAATTAAAAACATAAGCATTTAATAAACAAATTCGATAAGCATTTAATAAACGTATTTAATAAACTATTCGAATAAAAACATAAGCATTTAATAAACTTAGTTTCTATTATTTTAAATTTAAAATTTTGATTTAAATATTAGTAAATCTGTTCATTTAACTTTTACCAAAGGTAAAATTTTTTAAGTGATTTTAAGGCGCCTTTTAAATTAAAAATAATTAAAGAGGTAATTACAGTAAACATTTTTAAAATATTCTATTATTTTGATCAAAAACCATATTTTATTTTTAAAAACATATATTTAAAAAAATATATTATTTTAATTATTAAGAATAATTTAAAAAATTACATTTAAATAAATAAATTACATTTACTTTTTTTTTATTATTTTAAAATGAATATTGAAAGGAAAAAAACTGTCTGAAAAAGTTTATACTTCGATTTTTCCTTTTCCTCACGTAAACTAAAATAGCAAGCTAAAGATCAATAGTTCATTCATTTAAAAATTAAACTTGCACGATAGTTACAAGGATAGATACAAGTTTGCGCGATAGTTACAAGTTATTTTTTACTTTTGTTCATTTATTATCAAAAGCAGTTTACTCTTACTTGCCAAAAACAAAAATTAACCTTACGCTGAATGGATATTTAAAAACGCTTTAACTTTTAAAAAAGCAAATCTTTTATACATTCCATTGTTATAAAATTTTGCAACGTGGTTTTAAAATTAAGTTTCGGTAACGACTTTCATTTTTTTTAAAGTTATGTCCAGTTAATAACCGAAGGCAAATTACGTCACGTAGATATGTAAAAAAGCTATTTCTTTTTTATTTTCCTGAAGAAAAAATGAGGTAGCTAAATTAAACTCAGAATTAATTATATACTACTGCATTTAAAACTAATTTCTTTTTTGTTTTTTTCATAAAAAATTAAAATAACTTTAGGGCGCTTTTTTTTGGCGCCCATACCGGTAAAACGGTACAAAAACACGTCTGGGTTCTTCGCTGTATTGTCAACTTATTGCAGAAGTTTTCTAATCTTTGCAATAAATTGTGATTAATAAATGATAATAAATTTTACCTTGAATCTTAATATTTTTTAGGAGAACTCAAACATATCAAACGCTTAAAACCATGGTAAGTGTTTTTAATAATACCTCGCCTAATTATGTTGAAATTGCAAGTTTTTATTTCACGATTTCGGTTTGAGACAATATTTATTACCCTTTTTTTTTTATTACTTTTTTTTTTTTTTTTTTTATTGAAAAATCTTAAAATTTTATTGAAAGACATGACAAGAATATAATTTTAGGAGTCTTGAAAGTGTTCTCTGCGAAAAGTATGATTGGTCGACCGCTGATGCTCGCGCTTTTGCAGAATTTTTGGAACCAATGATGGATTTTGTACCTGAAAATCGAGCAACAGCTGCTCAATGTCTGATGCATCCGTGGTTAAATTCTTAAGTAATTTTTAGGCGAATGACCTGTGATGAATGAATGAATTCAGTATGTTCTGGTGGCTAAAAGTATATATTCAGTACAAAGCCAACTTGGTGGTTGTTCATAAAGATCTACTTTGAGTATTTCATAAAACGACGCTTTAATGTCTGATTGAATATAGAACATAATTCTAAACTTTATTAAAAATTGAATCTACAAATTATCTACAAAGTTCACCTTTAATAATTTTAAGAATTGCGATGGAGTGTTATATCAGTTTATGATATGTTTTTTTAAAGAATCGAACTTAATTTAAACCGGTGTTTTTAAATAACTTTTTATATAAATTTTAAATAAAGTTTAAAAAATAATTTTTAATAGCATCTTACTGCTTTCAGGAGATATATTATTTTAATAAATATTTGAAAACTTTATTTTATTGAAAAATAATAACTCAATAGAAACCCATTGTGTAAAGCTGACCAAAGTTAAAACACCAGTATTATCTGCAGTTACTTCAGTGATTCAAAGTAAATAAAAAATAATGAACAAAAAAAACGCAAAAAAAAAAAGTAAAAATAACTTTGTGGCTAGCGCAACGGTACCGTTGCTACATCTTAAAGTCACGGTAGTAAAGTCTGATTGGTGCATTTAAAGTAACAGCAGCGAATATATTTGGTTTATTTTAAAAGTTTTAGTTTTAAAATAAACCAAATATATTCCATGTCGTATGTAACTTACGAAACACCCTGGGAGTGCCAGCACGGTGGCCGGGGTTCGAATCCTTTATTTAAAAGTATTTGTTTTGAATTTTGTTTTGTTTTTTAACTATTTTTTATTAAAAGTTATTATTATTGTTTTTATTGAAAGTTACATTGCTTTTTATTATTTACATACATACATAGTGAGCAGCCGTAGCGCACTTGCCTCAGAAACAAAGTATCCGTGGTTCAAACCCCACCTCGGAGCAAGTTTTACGACATCAGTTAGGAAGGAGACGTGAACATCCAATCAAATCTTCATCCCCGGTACTCTGTAATAAGACTGTAAGGACTTCTTGGGGCACATAAATATAATAAAGATTAAAATAAAACACTGATATAGAGGTAGCGCAGTGAGAACGCATACATCAACTGATATAGGGATAGTCGCAGTGGAGCGCAAATACATCGATTAAGGGTTTTTGGTTGGGGTGGTGTTCTTTAAATCAAAGATAAGAAAATTAACCAATCAGAAATCACTACCTTGATTTTAGGGAAAAAATTAACGCGACGTTACCGTTGCGCGAGCAACAACGTAAAAATAAATTAAACGTGACGCTTTTAATCCATCTACAATCAATTCAGAGAAATTTTTTGTTTTTTTAAAAATAAAAAAATGCGAGTCTTTTCACACTTTTTTCACCTAAGGTACCTAATGACCGCATAGGTAGAGCTTTGTAAATACAATCGTATTCACGAATTTCCTTAGGCATTCCGAAAGCTTATGGTTTTGAAATTAAATCAACAACAACTGTTAAAGTATTCAATCAAAAGTTTAGAAGATTTATATATTTAACCTTGTTTATACTGAGTCGCGAAGGTCTGTTTTATTTATAGTTTTGGAGAAAGAAGAAGTTACTTAAACAACTTTTTTGAAAGTATGCACAGTCTTTGCTCTCGAATCATTCTAGGCTATAACTGTTAAAATAAAGCTTTTTCCTTAGCTATATATATATATATATATGGTCTAAGTAGCACTAATTTAGTAATAATAATAGATAGATAAATGTTGTATTCTATCTTGGAAATAGATAGATAAATGTATACTATATTTGAGTTGGAAATACAACTCTCGTCTTTTTAAAAGTGATCATTATGTTTTTTTTAAAAAATAGATCAAATTATATTAAAATAAATTTAAATAAAAAAACACAACTTTATAATCAAACTTAAAAATTCATGCCTTTCGGCAATTATTACCCATTTTATTCAAAAATGTAAAATAAAAATCTTTATAAAAAATACAAGTTTGGCATCTGACGTCGAATATATGTGATCATCGGATCACATATATTCGACGGTATTTAACAGATATGGGGTTTTCTTATTGCAGTTGTATTTTTACCATTAGCGGCAAGTTTGTTGCCCAAAATTTGTTGGTTGTGTGAATGAATAATTGATTGAATATTTGGCATGCAGCTGTAACTAATTTTTATTATATTTCTGTTGTAAATTTTGTGGAGCTTATGATGTAATGGAAAATGCTAGTCAATTAAGTTTTAAGGTGTCCAATTTTAATTACAACATTTTTACTAAAAGGAGGATTAAACCATAATATATATATATATATATATATATATATATATATATATATATATATATATATATATATATATATATATATATATATATATATATATATATATATATATATATATATATATATATGTATATATATATATATATATATATATATATATATATATATATATTATTATTATTATTATTATTATTATTATTATTATTATTACAGTTATTATTATTATTATTATTATTATTGCTATTATTATTATTATTATTATTATTGTTATTATTATTATTATTGTTATTATTGTTATTATTATTATTATTATTATAGACATGAACGATATTAAATAGTATTGATGACAGGAAGCAAACTCCCTCCGGCCTTTGCTTAGAAAAAAAATCCCAAAAGTTAGCAGGACATGGAACAGGTTACTCTGGGTTACGTGTTACCAGTAGCAGGGTGATCATAATGACCACCCGACCTGAATGTAAAATTTTAAAATAGCTTAACTTTAGACCAAATAACTGAAAAGTCTTTGCTGTAATTTCTTTAAAACATCAACATTCTTTATCCAAAGAGTGAAAATGAAATGTCTAATTTAATAAAAAATGTTCCTCAAAATGATAAAAGTTTAAGTCCAAATGCTGTTCACAAACATCTTCAAATCATTTTTTCATAAAAGGGGTTCTCATTTGACATTCTAAGATTATTTATAAAATAAAGAAAAACTATAGCCTTTCCTTGTTTTAAATAATGCTTTTAGTATGTCTTTAAAAATTTAAACTACCATTTTGTTGACAAAACCAACATACTCATAATAAATAAATCAAAAAAAAAATTAAAAAAACGCAAAAACGATGATTTATCTAATCTATTTCAACAACTGCGCTCAAACATATTAGTAATAGTACCTTAAAACTGAACCGTTCACTTTTAAATCAAGCCCTTCTAAAATTTTGAAATAGCTAAACTTCAGACTAAGTAACTGAAAAGTCTTTCCTGTAATTTCTTTCAAACATCTTAAAATCAAAATTTACTCGAACTTATTCTTTTCCTCTTGCTATAAAAACTCAGCAGTGAAACTCTGTAGATCAATGACGGATCGGGGAGGGGGGAGGAGAAGGTATGCTTATCCCCCCTTCCCTTCCATCATAATCTGAAAGTCCTAAAATATAGGATCTTTTTTTTTTTTAGAAGACGCAAATGTGATACAAAATACCAAAACTTTTTAACGGTTCGAAAGGATTTGATTTAAATCAATGGCAACTAATCGCGAGGTTAGAATTATTTTGTTCTATCTCCACAAATCAAAAAAATTGAGTTAAATCAATTTTTTTTCTTTTTATGGATAAAATATTTATTTTTTACAAATAAACCAGTAAAAATGACTCTTAAAACAAGCTCTTTAGTAGAGCTTCTTAGACTTTCATTTATACCTTGATTATTTTCCAAAAAGTAACTGCTTATAGGATAACACATAATGGATAACACAACATTTTGAAATGTTTAATTTAAGTAACCAAGTGTGACACCACTCGTATACTATGTGTAGACAATGGGCTCTACCAGTACAAAGCACCTTTTGATTTTCTTATTCTCAAAATTCTTTGCTGTTTAAGTACTTCATGGAAGGTCCACAGACAGGTAAAGTAGTATAAAGAAGGATCATTGAAAGAACCGGAAGAAACAGCAAGCAGTCAACTAATTGATAAAGAAGAACCAAATAATAAAGACAATTACGATAACTGCGATGGTAAAAATATTAAAAATAACAATGAAGATAATGAAAATAATGAGATGATGAAAATAACAAGATGATAAAAATGAATTTGGAATGGCAATACAAGAACATGTGAATGTTATAATATAATATATTATTACAGTATTTAAGATATAATACTGACATTAAATGACGACAATAGAGAACTCTCTAATTTTAATGTATTCTTTTTTTTTTGTATCAGTGAATTCATTATTACTTTTTAGTATAAATGAATTGTTTCTTTTATCAGCACATTTGTTTATTCAGGTACATTTTATTATTGATGAGCTACCTGCGTATAAGAAAGACAATTGGGTGTCTGTGGAACATAATAGCATATTGTAAACTGGTATAGTTACAAAAGTTGAATTTTTTTATTTTGTGTCTTCTCAAACACAACGTTCAAATAATTTTTTTCACTGCTCAGATTGATGAGAATAGCATAAGTGTTTCGTGCATGGAATCATGGAATACGTAGCAACACGTGACAAAAACTGTTTCAAATGGCCAGTAACAGAGCAAATACTTAACTACGAGGAAGATCAAATTTTATGTCAAATTGCGCTACCTATTTCAATCAACCCAAGATCATATTCCACTGTATCTGTAAATTTATATATATATATATATATATATATATATATATATATATATATATATATATATATATATATATATATATATTTTATATAATTCGTCTTTTATAAACATATTACAACGTTCTTGTTTTACAATTTTCATCAATAAAATTTAAATAAAAAAATTAATAACGACAGTAGCCTATAAAGATAAATAATCAGATATATTAAGAAATATTACAAGATTTTTTTTTTTTAACTTAAAAATGTAAAAGTATGTTTGCGTCTGTTAATTCAAGTAAAAATTTATTGAAGTTATACTTTTCATATTTTCATCTATGTTCCACAGGCGAGGGCCTCTATATGAAATTGAGTAGGTAGATGTTTTAAGAGTTGACTTAGGTAAATTAAAATTATAGGTAGAGTACCTTGTTAGGTATTTATGATTAATTTTTACAAATCAGTTATTAAAGGATTTTGGAAGCATGTCGTTTTGATATTTAAACATGAATAACAAGTTTTGGAACACGTTTAACTCATAGACATTAAGAGCTTTAATTTCCCGGAGTAACGGCTTGGAGTGGGCGTATTTATGTACATGAAATATAACTCTACTGGCTTGTTTTTGTTTAATATATACAATTTTCAATGCTGAAGGGTAAGTACTTGCCCAAGCAATATTACAATAGCTAATGTAGCTATGGATAAAACAATAGTATAAATCTATTAAACATTTTTTACTTAGTAGGTGTTTTGTTTTATACATAATGCGATTTTTCCAATTAAGATGTTCATCAAATATTATTCCTGAAATTTTAAGTGATGAAACTCTGTTTACTATTTTGTTTTTTATTATTAGCTGCAGGGGTAAGTCATTATGGAATAAAATGTACTTAGTTTTACTGATATTCAAAGAAAGTTTGTTTGATTTAAACTAGTCATTAGGTTTTCCAGCTAACGATTAACTGTAAAGAAAATTAATTTTAAATTGGAATGGGTATAAAAAAGATTAGTGTCATCAGCAAAAAGAACAAAATTAAGCATGTTTGAAGATAGATAGATATCATTTACATAAATCAGAAACAGTAAGGGTCCAAGAATTTGGAGCCTTGAGGAACTCCGCAGCTTATTGTTTCTAACTTTATACATGTTGAATCATAAGATACTCCTTGTTTTCTATTTTTAAGGTAGCTTTGTAGCCATTTTAAGTAGTTATTTGTTACTCCATATGTTTCTAGTTTGTACAACAGAATTTTATGATCAACAGTGTCAAAAGCTTTTGACAAATCAATGAACAAGCCGAGTGTATAACTTTTTTTTAGCAAACCCATCCAGTATTTGACTGGCTAAATCAGTTACTGCATGATGTGTTGAATGCCCTTTCCGGAAACCAAACTGTTTGCTGAATAAGATATTATGTTTTTCAAGATAACTATAATACGCTCAAGCAACTTTGAAAAACAAGAAAGAATAGATATAGGTCTGTAGTTAGATGGTATAGAATCGTCACCATTTTTGTATACGGGGACTACTCTTGCTATTTTTAATTGACAAGGAAAAATACCAGTTGTAATTGAAAGATTGAAGATAAACAAAACAGGTAATTTAATAGCATCAAAAACAGCTTTAAGAACATTAACATTAATATCGTCAAACCCGGCACTTTTATTTATTTTAAGCGCATTAAAGGATGCCTGAAGTTCATTTAGAGACAGTTCCGACTCATCCATTACATAGTGAGTTTTTTTAAAATTATTTCCAGGAGTTATATCAGCTGCTAATTCTTTTCCTATGTTTATAAAAAATTTGTTGAAGTTTTCAGCTATTTCTTTCTTATCAAATATTTCTCTGTTCGAATTAAGCTTTATTCTATTTAGAATAGTGCTTTTATGTAATTGCTTTTTCCCTGTAACTTCTTTAATTACTTCCCATGTCTTTTTACTATTCCCTTTTGAATGTTCTAAGAGGTTAGAATAATAACTTTTTTTTATTTGCTTTTTTATTCTTTCAAAACAATTTTTATACTTTTTGTATTTAATTTCATTGTTATAAGTTTTATTTTTTTTAAATTTTTCATATAACCTTTATTTTTTTCTGGATGATTTTCTAAGACCATTTGTCATCCACGGATTATTTTTTTTTATGGAATTAGTTGTTTTTTTAATTTTTGGAAAGGATCTTTTGTATTGTTTAGAAAACAAACGTAAAAACAGATTGTATGCATCATTAGCATCATTGCACTCAGTTAAAAGATTCCAATCAATTTCTGTTAATAGTTCTCTAAATTTTATAATAGATTGGTTGTTTATTTGTCTTACATATGTTACAAAGGAATTTTTAGATTCAGAAATTAAAGAGTAATTTATAAGAAAATTCGGAAAATGATCGCTAATATCAGTTTTTAATATTCCACTTTCGATTTGGCAAGTCATAGCAACATTAGTAAAAATGTTATCAATAATTGAAGAAGTATTGCGTGTTACGCGCGTTGGTTTGTTGATTACAGGTATTAAACTGTTCTGAAGTAGAGTATTTACTAACCGTTTAGCGTATTATTTATCATTATTTATTTTTTGAATATCTATGTTAAAATCACCAGTTATATAAATGTGTTTTTTAATGACTTTTGGCAATATATTTTTTAAGTGTTTTTCAAATGCTTCAAAATTACCATCAGGCGTAAAGAGAAGTTATAAAAATATTTTTGGTTTTCCGATTAAGAATTTCAATTGATAACGACTCACAATTAGCGTCATTGACACTGAGGCTAAGTAATTTTCTAAAAGTAAAAGAATTAAGAATAAAAATACATACGCCCCCGCCAATGTCGTTTTTCCTGGGTTGGTGTATTGAATTATAACCTGGTAGAAAAAAATTAGAATTTATTTCATCGCCATTTCTCCTACTCATACTCCTGATGTTCAAATTTAATAATGAAAAATTTGATAATGAAGAATTTAAATATCGTGAGGCATCACTTATATTAAAATAAACAGTATCTATTAAAAAGTTATTAAAATAATTCACGTCAGGGTCAAAGCCATTTGATAAAAGTATAGTGTTTTCTCTAGTAAATATATCAAAAACATTCAAAATATTATTTTCCGCCATTTATAAATTAAAAAAAAAAAAAAGTATATATATGTATGCCTTTAAATCCGCAGCTGTTTTTCAAAACGCCTAAACTTGCTTATACGTATTTTGAGAAAAACACAATTAAAAAAAATTGTTTGGAGAAACTCTTTGTTAAACGCTTTTTAAAACGAATAATTTTTATGAATTTTTTCAGAACTCTTTGAAAATATGTTTTCAATAACGTTTGTAGACATATAAACTATCTTATTTTGTAAAAAAGTCAGAAGTGATATTTTTTAACCTTAAGGCGTTTTCGAAAAGCGGCTGCAGAAATACCCATTTAAAATATATATAACTTTTTAATTTTGATTTGATTTATTATTACTAAATTTAAGTAAAGAGTTTTTTGAAGTAATAATTTTATCATACCTAAGATAAACATTTTCACCGTTTGAACGCCTTTTCTTCACTTCCGCCAATAACTTTTTTCTTATTTCCATAATATATATATATATATATATATATATATATATATATATATATATATATATATATATATATATATATATATATATATATATATATATATATATATATATATATATATATATATATATATATATTGAGTTTTATTGCTTAAATAACGGAAAATTAGGCTGAGTTTGTAACATAGTTTCTTTGTATAGGAAGGGGGGGGGGGATAATCAATTGTTGACGTAATTTTATAGGAGGAGCCTCTGGAAATTTGACAAATTGTTGACAAGGGGAGGGGAGAGGTAAAAATTTCAAAAAATTTGTTGACATAATTAACGGACAGCCCCTAAGAAGTCCTCAAGGTCTTGTCACAGAGAACCGCTGTTGAAACTTAGACATTCCTTTCGTTATAGTTTGAAGTCACTTGCTTACAGATGCTTGCAACAAAATTAAATAGTCTTCCAAACGACTCATGCGACTTTTATCTGTGATTTTTAGATAAATTTCACTTTCTCAAAATCAAAATATATGGTCAAGTAATCTTCATTCAATTTATCGCGGTCTAAATTTGGAACATTTTTTTTCTAAACATGTTTTTCACGGCCGATCTTTTGAGATGCGATTGCAACCACGCACAATTTTATATTTTTAGTGGAAGATTTTCGAAGACTTCAATATTTACGACTTCTTAAAGTTTGTACTTTTTCACAATTATTGTACTTTCAGCGAATAACTTTTTATTTTTTATTTTTCTAGTAAAACTTGTAGTTGGCTGTAATAAATAATTTGAAAAAATATCTTAAAATATATAATATTCCAGATATAGCTTCTTAAAGTATGACATAATACAAATTAAGCAAATTGACTAAAGTTCGTCCGATTTTCAAAGTACCGCCATGGCCGAACGACAAATATTTAGACCAAAATATTTTGTATTTATCATTGTATTTATTATACAAAGTAAATATGTAAAAAAAAAAAAAAAACGGAATTGGAGATATTCAATATTTTTTTCTTCAAAATTGAAGACAATGGGTCTTAAACATTAAAAATTGAAGCGCGAAAAACTAGCGTAAATTTAATGTTGCTTATTTTATGACGTAACATAAATATATAATTTTTTTAAATTTAAATATTCAATTTAAACATTATTTCTTTAATTCAAAAATAATTTTTTTTTTTTTTGTTTCTAATTTTAATTCATTTTTTTTTTTTTTTTAATGTTTTTTGGTTTTGAAGAAAAAGAATTATCTATTTATTAACTTTTAATAATTTTTTTTTTTAATTTTTTTTTTTGAGGTCGCGACGTTATTTAGCTTCAGTAAAAAAAAAAAAAAAAAAAGTTTCAATAGAATTCGAACAAAATTTTGAATTTAAAAGTTTAAAAGTTAAGTTGATCGAAAAAAAAAATCGATTTTCGAATGTTTTGAAGTCAAAAAATGCAAATGTTTTTTTCTTCGTACGTTAAACGTTTAACGCTCATTGAAATTTATTGACAGTTTCACAAAATGAATTCTTGCGAAGAAAATGAATCCAATGAGGAAATAGCCGACGAGCAAGCAGTTGATTTAAAAAATCAAGATCCATATCTTAGACATTCACCTGGTGATGTTGAAATTCCAAATCGGATTTTTGTAAAAGGTTTCTCTAAAGAAACTACTGAAGATGATCTAATCAACTTTTTTGAAATATATGGAATTGTAATAGAAGCCAATATAATACGGGATAAACAAGGTCTTAGTAAAGGATACGGATTTGTAACATTTGATAGTCAAACAATAGCTGAATCTGTAAAATTAGAAGGCACAGTACCATTTAAGGATCGAGAAGTTGTGATAGGGCACGCAAAAATTAGACCAATAAAATTTAAAAATTTGGAACAGTATAATTCTGGTTGCTGGTATGTTCAACAACAACAACCGGCTTATTATTCTCCCGACGGTGTAAACTTTTATTTAGTTCAACAACAACAAGCACCGCCACAATATCAGCAGCCAGTGAGTTTTGTGACTTCACCTTCGCAACCCCTTTATCCGGCAGAGGTATTTTATTAGTCATTGATAATAAAATTATATTAAGTTATAATAAGCAATTTAAGTAGTACAAACATATTATAATAAATAATAAAACATGCATTTTATAATATAAGTATAGTATACATAGCTTTTATACAAATCAGCATAACAGGCATATTTCCTTAGTCGTCCATAAATTACGTCATGCTACTAGGGGTGGGGGGGGGGGGTAATAGTTTTGTGACAACTCATACAAAACTTGCTACTTAAATGTTACAATTTTGTGATCGAAAATTACGTGACGGTCGAAAATTGCGGACGTAATTTATAGAATTAACCCCTTAAGGGTCTTATTGTTACAAAAGGGTGCAATTGTTGCAAAAAGCTTACATCTCCCATTTAAAAAGAAGTTAAAAATTTTCTACACAATGAAATGAAGATAAAAATATTTTTAAAATTAATGCAATTTTTTTTTTGGCTGAATAATTGATAAGAAAAAAATAACTTCCTGTAACATAATAAGTACAAATTCAAGTACAAATACAATCAAATTAAAATAGCATCGTTTTCTATCTATTTCTAGTTTTATTTTTCAGTTTCAATTTTTTTCTTTACAGCAATATTATACTCAACAATATTCACCACCAGTTCCTTATCCGTCAACAGCATGGTATACGCAGCAGGTTCCTATCCAACCAACAACAGCTGCACCAAGTTCTGCAACTGCTCAAATAATACAAAATGTTACTCCTCAGCAGGTGTTTACTCAACCAATCTATACTTCAAATACTTTACATACTGTACCACAATTTACCACATTTGCATTACCCCAAGGTTATTGTAAAGGTACAAAAAATTGTTTTTATTTTCTTGGTAAAATAAATAATTGTAGCGACTGACAAGTTGAATTTTTTTTCGAAAGATTTAAAATTTTTTTTTTTATAACCGATGATTTTTTTATAACTTTAATTGCATAACCATATCTTCCCAAGCAGCACAACACTTTTTTCAAACATAAGGATAATGTTAGCCCAATATTTTCGACGTTGTACTGACAATGGTCCAACATAGTATGTAATGCAGGGTTATTACTATTTCATGCACGGGTTATTAGTATTTCAAATGATTTTATTTGATAGGAGTGAACACTTTGACTCAAAGCATGAACAATATGGCCATTAATGAGCAGCTAATAAGACGTAAGGAGGAAGGAGGATATGAGTATCACTCAGTTATTCAGACATCTCCGCAATCCCCTGCACATGTTGTTCCTGTGGCTTATGAAAGCAAAATAATGCATAAAGATGATGATCATATAAACGAGGTAGATATTCTTTTATTTAACTTATTTTTAGTATAATTGTTTCAGATGTTGTTAATTTTAGTTTGTTCTTTATTTTTTATAAAAACATTTAATGTTTTAGGGCATGCCTACAAATTTAGTATATTTGCAAGAGCCAACAAAAATGAAAACTGTTCATGTTGTAAAACGGGATATATCGCATGGCATTTACTAAAATATGTGAATATAAAAATATAAAATTTAAAAATGGAGGTATCTATAAAAGAATTAGTAAACACCGCAGTTTCTGGTCCAAGAAATCATCAACTCTTTGTAATTCAAACGTTTCATAATTTTTGTTACTTTAAATGAAAACTTTTATGGTTTTCTCCGCTTTTTGATCAAAGTAAAATAACATGCATATATACTTTCGTATAAAATCAATGTATTCAGAATTAATGTTTTTAAATTTGGAGAATGAAATAAAATTATTTATTTATTTATTGGTAATAAAATTTATTCGTAATCTTATATAAAAAAATTCTTTCTACTAAACTCGATTAATTTTTAAACACGATTTTAAATTTTTTGAAATAAATTTTTTTTGGGGAAGTTTTTAGAAAAAAAAAGATTTTTCAACAAGTTCTTTTTTTTTTTTTGAAATCAAAAAAGTTTTTAACAAGGTTCAGTTCTAGTTAATTTTGTCTTACATTTTTACGGTATATATACTACTCTAACCGTATTTTAATTAGAAATCGTTCAGAAGATTATTTCAAAATATATTTGTAAATCCAATATATATATATATATATATATATATATATATATACATATATATATATATATATATATATATATATATATATATATATATATATATATATATATATATATATATATATATATATATATATATATATATATATATATATATTGGATTTATAAATGTATATATATATATATTGGATTTATAAATGTATATATATATATATTGGATTTATAAACATATATATATATATATATATATATATATATATATATATATATATATATATATATATATATATATATATATATATATATATATATATATATATATATATATGTTTATAAATCCAATATATATATATATACATTTATAAATCCAATATATATATATATATATATATATATATATATATATATATTTATATATATATATATATATATATATATATATATAATAATAATAATAATAATATTTTATAGATATATTATTTTCAAAATAAATAGTAGTTTAATTTGTATTCGTCAATGTATTTGTACGAAAATAATGCCCGCTTTTTTTTCAACCAAATAATTTCATTGGTTCGTTTTTTAAATGTTTTCTCATACGCGTTCCATAGAATAGTTTCATAAAATGTTCTGCTGTCGTAAGTCTTAAAGGATTTTTTTTTTAATTTCTGTTTACTGCTTAAATAAAAAAAACGTTTTGTGTAAAAATAACACTTTAAAAGATTTAATTATTTAAATTTAATTAGACATTTAATCAATTTTAATTTAGCTTTTTTATTATTTTTATTGTGAATCTATTAACAATATAATTTTTTGACATTTTTAATGTCAGTTGATGTGATCCTCTTTAAATTGTTGAACTTTTTATATATTGTAAACGAGAATATTCGGAAAATATTTGTTTCACTCGGAATCCAAGTTTAAAATTTAAAAATCTTTTTAAAAATTTTTAGAAACTTAGTTTTTGCCATCTCTGAATCCATTCGCAAAGCAATAAGTTGCACATAACTTTTTAGTTAATATCTGACGTAACCCGTAAAGCTCTTTCCTATAAATATGAAAAAGTTGCAGGAAATTGTACGGTTGGTTATTTATCATAATTCAAAAGTATAAACACATCCAGTTTTGTTAATTTTAAATTGGAGTTATTTCTAACGGCACAGACCCAATGGACACGAAAGTAAAAAAAGACGTCTTTTAACCGTCTTATACACGTTTTGGACGTCTTTTGAACGTTCAAAAGACGTCTTTTTTTGGTCCAGTGGCCACTGGGGAGTTGCACGCAATTTTATAAGTAGCGTAAGAAATGCAAAATTTATAAGTAGCGTAAGAAATGTTTAAATATGTAAAGAAAGTTGTAATACTCGAAATTAAAAAAAACAACGTCGTATTACTTTTATAAAATGAAGCGACGGGAGAGGCGCTACGTCTTGTGAAAATTTAATCATGTTAAAATGTCAATTCAAGATGGTCCTAACATAATAATAAAAAAAAAACTCATGTGATCTAGGGTTGTTAACCGGAGGATTTCGTGCAATTCCGGAAAAACAATATTCTTTCGTAAGGAGATTGAGAACACGGAATTACATTTTTTCGTACCGAATGTTACAAAACATTTAAAATCGCCGATGTTCATTTCGCAAAAGCCACTTCCGAAATTTAGCATTTCGCAAGTTGACATACGAAACAAAACTATTTTGCAACATACGAAAGTAGCGGTTTCGGAAGTCGCACTTGCGAAACAAACATTATCGCCAAACGACGTTTTGAAGTCTATAAAGAAAATTTGTTTGCCAGACTGATTTTAATTGTAAAAATTAACATCTTTAAATCCCAAAATATTTATAATAAATTTTTACTTTCAGTATAATAACTATTAAATTTTTATGGTTTTATTTTTAGAATTATTGATAAAAAATAAAATTTCTTTCCAAACGAAAGTATTTCGTATGTTGTGATACTTTCCAAACGAAAGTATCACAACATACGAAAGAATTCTTAACGGAAATAAACTTACGAAACGTGCCATAATAAATATATACAACGATGTTTTTTGAGCTCATTAGGTATATTAAAAATAAGAATGATGGGTAGGAATATACATGTTTTTTTTTTTTAAAGCATATGAAATTTTTGAAACAGGTTCGAATATGCTTAAGCAAATAGTAAAATGAGGCTCAAAAATATGCTTTAGCTTAAGCATATTTCTGATAAAATATACTTATTTCAATAATTTCTAAAAGTGTGCACCTTACTAAAGTTCTAGCAGATTTTAAAGGTATGTAGAGTCCTGTTTGAATACGCTTTTCGAAGTATAGATCTTAGAAATAATTGTTTTTTAATTTTAATAAGATATAAATTTGAGTATAAAATTGTATAGTTCAATCAGTTAGATACGTGATAATTCGCCGCAGAGATCCGGGTTCGCATCCCGCAGCCATTGTAACTTTTGTTCATCAAACTCTTTTTACTTAAGATAGCATTTTTTGACCTCCATGTTCTATATTACAGATCTTTCGTCACCTTCACAATAGTGACAACCACTCTTCTGTTAGTTATTCTTTTAAGATTGAGTTCATTGTGCTTAATTCAACACGTTTCCCTTGCTTTACTAAGTTCTACTTAAATTATGATGAAATGTACGTAAAACAACTTTTTCAAATAATATAAATCATTTTGCTTTAGATCTTTTGGTTTTTGTACTAGACATCTGTCCTAAATACTTTGTAATAATTTCTAGCTAACTCTGAGTCTAATATAGCCATTTCTGAATATAATTTCCCTGAGGCTCCTACAGCCTATTGTGTTCTATTAAAAGTAACTAGTTTTTGAGTCCAGATATTAATTATAAGCATCTAAATGTTCACATTACTATTCATTTTCCTGATATATAGAATCCTATTTGCATACGTATCTCTTTCTGTAAATTCTGTTTTATATAGTTTCTTAATTATATATTAAATAAATATTACTATTCACTTAGTTGAATGAACGTATACCTCATTCAGTTAAGACATTTGGCCGCGTAGACCCAGGTTCACATCCCGCTGTTTCACATATATTTCTTCTCTTTTTACTCTTTCTGATATCATTTACCGTTAGAGAGATCTCTCGTTCTTTATAATAAAGTATTTAATTGTTTATCACACATCCTCTTTATACTTTTTAAAAAGAAAGGCATACTGTTTATCTGTTCATTGAGAGTCCAACTTAACGGGATTTTACTGTATATATATGTATATATATATATATATATATATATATATATATATATATATATATATATATATATATATATATATATATATATATGTATATATATATATATATATATATATATATATATATATATATATATATATATATATATATATATATATACATATATATACAGTAAAATCCCGTTAATGTGTATATATATATATATATATATATATATATATATATATATATATATATATATATATATATATATATATATATTAGGTATATTTGTATAAACATTTGAAGAATCATTTGACAGCATTTTTTTATAATTTTATTATTTATTATTTAAACTGTTAACAGTTAATATCTTAAATATATCGTAACATAAAATCTTTTGCGTCTTTTTCGTAACTACACATTCCGGAATGCTTTTTCTGTAAGGAACTATTTCGTAAGTATACTTACGAAATGATTTGTTTCGCAAGTTTTCTTTCGCAATGCTTTATTACGGAATTTTATTCACTATTTATATTTTCGTATAGCGCGTTACGGAATGTGCATTTTTGCATGTGCAACTTCTGCAATAACAATTCTATTACGGTAGATAAAGATGCGAAATTTTCGCAAGTTTTGTTTTTCGGCGAACAACCCTAATGTGATCTATAAATTTTAAGTTACAATTGAAGATACAAAGTGTTCAAGTTTTTAAGAAAAATGATTATATACTTAAACGTTTCTGACCATGATGTCGAAAACATAGCAATTAAAATAAATAATAATAAAACATAATATACCATCAGAAAAGAATTAATTGAATTTACTTCATAAGCGGCAATTGAAGGTAAAGAAGGATTCAAACCTTTGAAAAAATAATTACTAAATTAATTCTACTTTTGCAATAATCTATATTAATAAAAACAACAATATCTTTAAAACGTTTTTTTTTTTGAATACCAAGAATCATATATATATATATATATATATATATATATATATATATATATATATATATATATATATATATATATATATATATATATATATATATATATATATATACACACACACGCACACACACACACACACATATATATATATATATATATATATATATATATATATATATATATATATATATATATATATATATATATATATATATACATATATGTATATATATATATATATATATATATATATATATATATATATATATATATATATACATATATGTTATATATATATATATATATATATATATATATATATATATATATATATATATATATATATATAAACACAAAAAAGAACTCTACGTTGAATTTGTGTTAATAAGGTTTACAAGTTCACGACCCAGAGGTAACCCACTGTTTTAGGGTGGTAGCCCTCTTATCAGAGAAATTGAAGTTGGTGTATTGACGAGAGTTGATTTGGTTTGGTTTCACTCTTAAAATGCCACCAAAAAATTCAGACATAAATATGTTACTACAAGAAATGCAAGAAAAAATAAAGCAATTGGAAAAAAAACTAGACGAGAAAGATGTTTTGATAAAAAATCTTGAAGGAAGGGTGAATGAATTAGAAAATAAATTAGACCAAGATAAATCAAAAGATTTAAATAATTGGAGTGAAGTCGTAAAAAGAAAAGTTAAAACAAATCAAGGCCAAAATGATATTATAAACACGGTTCTACATGAGGAAAAAGAACGTAATAAAAGAAAAAATAATATTATTATTTTTGGTGTTAAGTTAGCAAATCATGATAACATTGACAAGAAAAAATGTGATGAAGATATGGTAAACGATATTTTTGATTCAATAAATGCAGACAAGGATAAAATAAAAAAAGTCATTCGACTCAAAACAAGAGACACATCAAAAATACCACCAGTTATCATTGAGTTAGACAATGCGTCAGACAAAATAAGTGTATTAAAAGCTGCATAAATTAACAGAAACAAGATAAATGAAATCTAATTTAACTCAGATATGACAGAATCCGAAAGAGATCTCATTAAACAGCTACGTAGTGAAGTTAAATTGTTAAATGCTAGCCTAAATCAAAAAGATGAATACTACTACACTATAAGAAATTTTAAAATTGTGAAACTCATAAAAAAACCAAAGCAATAGCAATCCTCAATTAATTTGTATCAACCTGCAGTAATGGCTGTCCTTTCTACACATAACCCTGTATCTAATTATGTTAAATCAGAAGTATTATTATGCAAATCAATACCCAAATACCATCTATGTTGTAGATATACAAATGCGACTTCACTTAACAATAAGTTCGATTTGTTTTTGTTAGAAATAGCAGTGTATAATCCAGACATATTCATTGTAACTGAAACTTGGTTTAACTCATCAAGTGCCATAAATGTAAGCGGGTATAATGTTTTTTACAACAATCGATCTAAATCTAATTCAACTAAATCTCATGGCGGAGGTGTAGCTATTTATGTTAAAAATAAATACATTGCTTATACTCCATATAAATCTGAAGAAATGACAGTTGAACAATAATAATCCATACCTAGCATCTGAAGAAATGACAGTTGAACAAGTCTGGTGTGTCATTAAAACAGAAAATGAGAATATCTTAATTGGTAGCATATACCGTCCACTAGATGCTACAGAATCGACAAATCAAAAAATAAATAAAATAATAAATATAGCTAAAAAAAAGTGTTGATTGCAACAAATATTCAGGTCTACTCTTAGCCGGAGACCTAAATTACCCAAATATAAAATGGAATGAGAATGATGAGAATATCCAAACAGTGTTAAGAAATGATAGACAAGCACACATTTTTTTAGACAATTTAAATGATAACTTTTTGACTCAAAACGTCACAAAACCAACCTTTAATTCAGGGACACTGTCAAAGGCAATACCTTAGATTTGATTTTAACCGATGCACCAGAGCGTATTTCGATCATAGGCTATAATCCTCCGTTAAGCAATTTAAATAATGCACATCAGATATTGTATTGAAATTACATCTTAAAAAAACCAACAACATCAAAATCTTCCTATGGGAAATCAAAGTTTAACTACAAAGCCGGAAATTATCAAGAAATGAACAATTCATTCCATAGTATAAGATGGTTACATATTTTCTCTAATAAAAACGTTGATGAATGCTACAAAATTTTTGTAAATAAATATCAAGAATTATCTGACAGTTATATACCTAAAAAAGTGCATAAACACATAGCTTTAAAACCATATATTGACAAACAAATTAAGACTGAAATCAGACATAAAACAACCTTATGGAACAAATTAATATCAAATAAATCAAAATCACCCATTTTGGTTCAGCAATACAAAATACAAAGTAAATTAGTTAAAAACATGGTGAGGTTAAAACGTATTGAATATGAAAAAAAAAATTAGTGAAACATCAAAAAGAAATCCCAAGTTATTTTATAGTTATGTAAATTCTAACAAAAAAGTTAAAAGAGGAATAGCTTCAATGTCTAATGAATATAATAACATTGTAACAAATAGAGAATCTATAGCAAATATTTTAAACAATAGTTTCAATTCAGTTTGTGTTAACGAAGATAAACATAACATACCAAATATACCGCAGAAGACTGAAATTATTCTAGAAGTAGATATAAATATTAAAATAACTTGCCATACTATTGAAAAAAAATTAAAAAAATTAGATGTTTACAAAGCTATCGGAGTAGATGGGATAAGCCCATATGTTTTAAATAAATGTCATAGTACTCTCTGTGAACCATTACATTTAATATATATAAAATCGTTGACTGAGAAAAAATTACCTGAACTCTGGAAATTAGCAAATATAACACCAATTTTTAAAAAAGGTAATACGAACATTGCATCTAATTACAGGCCAATCTCATTGACTTCTATCCCATGTAAAGTTTTGGAATCACTCATTAGAGATGAAATTATGGATTATCTAATAAATAACAGCTTATTAAATGAAAATCAGCATGGGTTCAGAAAAAATAAAAGCTGCACAACAAACCTATTGGAAACTCTTGATATCATAACAGATGCACTAGAAAATGGCCACTCAGTTGATATGTTGTATCTAGACTTTGAAAAGGCTTTCGATAAAGTACCACACTCGCGTTTGATCACTAAACTTCAATCATATGGTATTGTGAGAAATTATCTGGGATGGATAGAGAACTTTTTAACTAACAGAAAACAGAGAGTGGTCCTTGGCGACACTGTCTCAGATTGGCAGTTATTAGTGGTGTACCACAGGGGTCAGTTTTAGGACCACTGCTGTTTTTGATTTTTATTAACGATTTGCCAGATCAAGTCAAAAACCCTATTAAACTTTACGCTGATGATAGTAAAATAATAAATATTATAAAAAATCCTAATGATTCAATAAGCCTTCAAAATGATATAAATAATATAACGGCATGGTCATCTATTTGGCTCACAAATGTTAATTATGAAAAATGCAAAGTTATGCATATTGGGAAAAAAAATCCAAATGCTACATTTATAATGACTGATATTGATTGCAATTACAATTATACATTGTGTAACACAAAAGCTGAACGTGATTTGGGTATAATGGTTCAATCCGATTTAAAATGGCACCCACAAGTTGATTCAGCAACCAGCAAAGCAAACAGAATGTTAGGTACCATAAAGAGAAGCTTTAAATATTTAAATGTAAACATGGTAAAAATGCTCTATATAACGTTCATACGTCCACATCTTGAGTTTACGGTCCAGGCATGGTCTCCATTTTTAAAACAAGACATTGACAAGATTGAGAAAATCTAAAAAAGAGCAACCAAACTAGCACCTACAATTAGGAAGTTATCATATGAGGCAAGGTTGAATATTATGCAATTAACGTGTATAAAAAAGCTTATATTTTAATTTTAGTTTTATTTATTTAAATCAAGAAACAAATACATATATTTAATATGATTACAAAACAAAGAACTCATTGGTTCTAAAATTATCCACCAAAGCTTTTTTCTGAATTTAAACTTTTTTTCTTATTAAAATGCTTTTTTTAAATGCTTTTTTTTTGTCTTTTATTTTTATTTTCTTTTGTAACAGCTTGTTTTCTTTTAGATATTTCTTGTTTTTTTTTTTCTTTCAGTTCTTTTTTTTCTGCAGCTTTATTTTTACGCTCAATTTTTTTGATATCTTCTTTTTCCTTTGCATTTTCTTCAGTTATTTGAATCTCTAACCATTTGGATGAAGTTACAACGCTCGGTAATCGTTCAACTTGTTTTGGCCTTTTTTTTTGTGATTGGTTGTTTTGGCCATAAAAGAAAGTCGTGTAATGGATTTACATATTTGAATGTGGTGGATCTGTTGCAGATTTACTTTCACCGGATTCATCAATTATTTCGCTTTTTCCGAATTCGCTAACATTACTAAATACATTTTCATTTTGCGTACTGCTAATATCTAGATACGATTCTTTATCAATTTCATTGTTCAATACATTTTTGTTGGCTTCTATTAATTTACTGGTTTGTTTGGAGCTACCGTTAAATTTAAATCGTTATCCAATTATAATTGCCGACAAATGTTTTGCTTTTTTTTTTTTCATTGGTCCAAAAACTGACACATCTAATGGTTGTAAGATGTATGTAGCATTAGGAAACAACGAAATCAAATGAATTCTTTCCGAAGAGCAATACATGCTGAGCTCTTTAGACAGATGCGAGCAATGTCCATCCATGAACATATATATTGGTAATTGCGTATTAATAGATTTCAAGTGTAGTACTAACACGTTTATGAAGTACTCATAAAAGCATTCGCCGGTCATCCAGCCGCTGTCGCTTTTGCCGAAACCCCAACCTGGTGGTGCAGCAGCAATAGTTTTTCGCATTCGATTATACTTATACAACGTTAATGATGGTGCAAATTTACCATTTACATTTAAGCAAAATAGAGTTGTAAGATTTTCCTTATCGCGGTTGTTGCATTCTTCATAAACATTTCTTCCTCTAATGCCAATTACTTTTCCAGTTTTAATGCTAACTCAAAACCAGTTTCGTCTAAATTAAAAACACGAGATGAATCATTAAGGTACTGCGTATCATCGCCTAATAATTCATACAACTCATTAAACCATTTTCTAATCAATGCTTCAGTTATAAGACCTCTGGCTCTACTGATATACTCTGCTCTCTTTTTGCGATAATACCTTATGATGGCGCATAAATTTAAAAAAACAATTTTTACTTGGGATTTCATCTTTAAATGGTGTTTTTATACCTCGCCCTTTAGTTATTTTTTGTCTTGATTTATAATTTTTTTGTTATCACAAAACCCATGTTGGCGCACTGCATTAACCAAACAACCAATTAATTTTCTATTTCTTCTCCAAGATATGATTTAAAGCCAGAATTTTGCCGTTTAGATTGGCTTTTACCAGATAATTTGTCGTGTAAGGTACTTTCAGGAACATTAAACTTTTTGCTGACAAATAAAATTTTTTCACCTTTATTTAAAGCTTGAAGTGCTGCATGCAGTTATTCTTCGGAATACAATAGCTTTTTTTCAAATATTTTTTTCCTTTTTTAAACCTTGCATCTTTCTAATCGAATTCATTTCACATAAATGAAGTATAAAAATCATATCAAATAAATAATCCCTAGGGTTAGATTACCTTTAATTGGTAATTTAGTTTAACTTAAATGTTTTTTTAGAGAGAAAACTTCAAAAATAAAACACGCCCGATAAAATATTTCCAGAAACGGTAAATGCTAACTAATATAATTTTTGTAATTACCTACCGTGTAAAGGATTACACAATGTTATACAAGAAATACTAATATTTTTTGATAAAATTTAAAATATTCAATGTTTTTACAACTATTTTAAACTTTTATTAAAAAAATTTAAAAGTTTAAGACATAAAAAAAACTAAAAAATTTTTTTTACTGTTAAAGATTATCTTAAGAAAGCAATAAAAAACTATTTGTGGGTAAAAAAGCATCTCAAATCTTTAAAAATATATATTTTTAAAAATATATTATTACTGAAATAAGTTAGTTTAGTATAAAACAACACTAAAAAAATAAATTTTTCAAAAACCCCGGTAAATGTCTTTATGGTAAGGGGTGCTATGACCCTTTCCGTTGTCTGCGAAAAGAATAAAACTTTTAAGTTTAGCTTTAAAAATAGGGTAATAAGAAGGCAAATCAAAGTTTTACAAAATAACTTTATTCCTAAGACATGGTGCACGATAATCAATACAAAACTGATTAAACATGGTTCGACAAAAAATTTGGTTTAGCAAACTATTATTTCCTAGGGTATATTTATTGACATTAGTTGGGACAACAAATACTTTCTATTTAAAAAAAAAGTTGGGACAACAAGCACTTTCTATTCAAAAAAAAAGTTGGGACATCAAGCACTTTCTATTTAAAAAATCTCTAGTTTAATAGAAAATTCCAATATTTTCAGAAATTTTGGTACAGATGTAACTAACTATGTGATGTTACATGTAATGTGTTCATTCAGGAAATTCCCAAAAACTTTGTAATGCAGTCTATTTTAATCTCAATTTGGTCAATAAAATCTGGAAGCAGATTTATGGGTAGATAAAGAATTTTTTTTAAGCAAATGGAAAATAATATATTTTGTTTTATTAATAATTATAGTTATTTTTTTATACTTGAACCAGGTAGAAACATTTTTAAGCTCGTCATTGATTGTAGAAAAAAGTCCACAAATATCATTATTAGAAAAAAATAGAATAGTGTTGTCCGCAAACATAATACTAAGTAAATTTAAAGCTTTATTCAAGTCATTAATAGAAATCAAGAAAAGAAGTAACTTTAATAAAGAGCCTAGCGGAACACTACATGATATAACTAATAAATCCTTTTGATAAACATCATTACAGGAAACATTGTTTTTGGTTTGATAAATAACTTTTAAACGACTTTATTACCTTGTTATTTATTCCATAGTGTTTAAATTTATGAAGTAAGATGGTATGATTTACTATATCAAATGCCTTCGAAAAGTCAATAAAAATACCAAATGTGTGTTTGGGAATTGTAAAAGAATTTGAAATCTCATGTACGAATTGAATGATTGCATGTTCCGAAGAAGTTTTTTGACACCAAATTGATTGTTATATAATAGGTAATTAAAATGTAAATAGTTACACCAGTGCAGCGGCTATTGGGTTGGAGACTCATCTCAAAAAAAAATCTGTCATTAGAACCCCAAAATTTAAAGTAGTTATTACTAAGAAAAAAATAAAAAACCCTCAAATTTGTAAATGGGCCCCTAAATTTGTATATGAGCTCCCTAAATTTGCTACCCCCTCTCCCTAATTAGAAGGATTTTTACAAGTTTTACATTTTATCATAAATCACAGTACATAAAAAAAAAATTAAATTAATTTTTATTCATTTCAATAAAAAGAGGCTTAGCACGACAAAATATGGTCTTTAAAATTAATAAGAGCTGCAGAACGTTTCTGCTGGCGATGACAAAGCTTCAATTTACGTTTATTTACAACAACCCTAGCCTCATTCGCATAATTAATTTGGCAACGAATGAACGAGTGGTACTGCTGAATTAAAGTACGTTTACATGCTTCTTGCTTTGAATAGTATTCTTATTTTTTTGGAAATTTTGAAGAACAAATTTTAAATAGGTTTTTTTTCATGTAAGGTTTTCTTCAATGGAAATACCCAAAAACTTTGTAACTGTTCCTCTTTTTACTTGAACGTTACTTATAAAAAGAAGAAGCAATTCAATTAGAAGTAAATGTTTTTTTTAGAGTGCGGATGAAAAAGAGTTCATTTTATTTATTCAATATTAAAATATGTTTGTTTGATTTAAACAATTCGGAAATTTTTATTAATTGTTCATACAAAAAAAAAAAAAAAAAAAGATCTAATATACCTCCTTATATAATATATAATATTATTCATTTCAATAAAAAGAATTGTAATACATAATATTATAAAAGGAGGTATAATAGATCTATTATATCTCCTTGAGATGATAAATTAAAATGAAAAAACTATTTTCTATTGCTTAAATAACTTTTTAGTACCCTAAGATTATTTCCATTGATTCCATAATATTTTAGTTTTTTTGAAAAGGATTTTATGGCAGTAGCAATAGTAGAAGTTTATTTATGAGTTTTGTTAATTTAAAACCTAAACTCTTTAATTCTTAGATCATTGAAAATTATTCTTTACCCGCATTTCAACTTTCTATGCAATAAAATTAGACGAGTTGCTATCCATGTGACCATTTCGACAATTAATTTATGTTATCTTGTATAATAGATTTTTGACGTCATAGTTCCAAAAGAAACAAAAATTCTCCACTATCATGTCTTTTTCTTTTACAATTTTTAAAAACAATTCAATACGCTTTCAAGTGTAGACATTAAATGTCGATGGGAAACGACATCAAACTCTTAGGAAAACCCATAAAGACTACGTCAACTTTCAACAATTTTTCCTTATATATTAATGAAGTCGTCATAAAACCCATTGTTACAATTAAATTAGTTACGTATGTTTTTATCTTCACAAATCTATGTTGATTTGTTAATAATAAATAATTTTTAACTAAATATGAAATCATGCTATCTTTGACAATTTTTTCCATTTGTTCACATGCATTTGACGTCAAGATTACCGGACTATAATCACTCTTGTCTATTATAGTGCCTTTTTGAATAACGGTGTTAATTGCACAAATTTACACATATTCTATAGAAACTGTTAATCCGCCGATCTTCTATATCTTGAAATTTCTAAAAAAAAAAAGAAGTAGGGAGCCCGTGCCCTTTTTGTTTGACATAATGATTTGTATGTTTTGTAATCCTTTTTTGTTTGACATAATGATTTGTATGTTTTGTAAATGTTGGTAATTTAGCGATATTTTTTTGTGAAAACATCAACAAAAACATTATAAAAGAAATTTCTAGATCCATGATGCTCAACCTAACTTGTTTCATGTGACTACAAACTTTTTGTATTATATTTAACAGCCTGATCCATACTTAGGTTGCTTTAACTTTTTGTAGTCCAACTTATTTGGTTACTACTCTTCAAATATTTTAAACATCTTAGACAACTTTTTTTATGATCTAGTTTTGAATTAATAAAAGACAATTAGGAAAGCAACTAGGGAATTAGGTTTTTTTTTGCAGCAAAGATCTGTTAAAAATCAGTGTAGGATAGATTTGTGACTAAAATTTTGGGGAGAACGATCTATTGAATTACAACCATCTCTCTAGAGTTATAGGAATGTATACTGATTATTAAAATAACTATTAACTTTTGATGTTATTGCAGGGTTTTAAACCTTTAGTGGGGATAGCTTTGGAAATATAATGATAAAATTACGGATTTATCTTATATATGACTGAGTGACCAGGACAGACAAAGTCTCTTCCTTAAATAGAACCCGGAGAAATTGTCCTTGTATCTTTGGTGTTGTGCCTAATGTTAGGTTATATATACCACTTTGTTAAAAAAATGGTCATTTACATTTTTTATAAGATAAGATACTATGATTGTGAAAAACAAACTCAGTAATGTAATGGTTACTTTTAAAACATAATTATATAAAAGAAAAGCAAATACCCAAGAAAACTAGACTTGACTCTTATTTTTAGACATTTTTCTTATGAAAACTTTATAAAACAATTATAATTATTCAAAGATGTAACAACAATTAATAACATTTTTGAAATGATGACTTTAATTAGATCTTAATTACATATTATATAACAAATATACATATCATTGTTTTCATGCTTACATTTGTCGAACCAAAATATTTTTCTCGACTATTCCATGTTTGCAAAGTTCAATTAACAACTTCTTAAATTTTGAGGCAGCACATTTAAATGTTTTTGAATAATTACTATTTATAGATAAATACTTGTATTATATACAATAACTTGATAAAGCTTCTAAAAGTACCACCAAGCAACTTAAAAATTCTTTATCAGTAAGAATATTTTTAAAATATAAACAAAATATTTTTAAATTTACACTACAACACAACAATATAAAATTTTTTAATAAAAATATGTACATGATTTGTTATTTGCTATTAAACAATGCTAGCTATCAAGTGGAACTATTTTTACTTGACCAACTTTTTCTGGATCTTGGATTATACAAAATTTGCCTAATGAGTTTTGTGTTAAAGAGCTCTTTTGTTGTTGTTGGGGTTGTGAAGTTACTGTTTGTATAACTGAAGTATGTCGCATCTCAGCGCCATTCTGATATAGTAAACTCGAACTTCTTTGAGGCGTTGTATCAGGAGATACTAATATTGTATGGCAATTTGATTTTTTTGTCTCTTTTTTTACATATTCAGTAGCTGGAGTATATTTTGGATTATAAGTAAACAACTGAGATTCATTATTACGTTCATAAGGATTAAAACTATCACTGCTTTGTTGTGAGGAAGATAAAAGGGACTTTTGACTATTTGTAAATACTCTAGGCATAGGTTTTAATGGTTGTATTTTTGTATCAAAACTCATTTTAACTTCTTTATTTAAAAGATTATGGTTTCCTCCATTAGATGTACTTTGTTCATTATTTTGATGTTGGTTTTGAGATAATTCATTATTACTGTTATTTGAAACAATTTGAAGTTCACCAGGAAGAGCAAACCCTCCATTAGTAAATAAAGCTCTTAAAACATTTAATTCTTTCGTTAAAAGGGTAACTTTGGTCTGTAGTTCTTCATTTTCTTGACTTAACTGTTCCACACGTACTTGTGTTTCAACTATCCTATTTTTTGCCTTTTCTCGACTTTTTTTTACAGCAACATTGTTACGCGCTCTTTTTCTTGAATACTCTTCGTCGGATGGCTTCGTATTAGTTTGTTTACGTTTATTGCTTGATGAAGTTGCCCCAGTATACTTGCTGATGACTTGACTTGCTATTTCTGCATTTGTTGTATACCAATTTTCATTAGGTTGTATTTCATGTTCTCCACTATCTTCATTTGAATCCATAACGAAAATACAATTTCAAAAATTATTACAGTTTAAACTTTTTTTGTTACGAAAGATGTGGAAATCGGCCATTTATTGCACAATTTTGCTCTTTGTGAAGAAATGAAGATAAAATTTATTCAGCATAAAAAAAAAGGGTGGTCAGGTTTTTAAAATGGAAATATGTAAAGTGCAAACGTTATTTTAACAGTGCGAGTTAAAACA